CCAGCCTGGCACTGCACGGGCCTCGGTTCAGCCCTCCGTCAGGAGGGATGGTGCTCTCTAGTCACAGGCCTGGCGGATTAAGTAAAACCCTGGCAGCCCCATCTTCCGTCTCCTCGCCCGGACCTCACGTGGTCCCGGGTGCTGTCTGCCAGGCCTGGCCGAGGCTCCTGGCTTCTCAGGTGACCTGGTCCTCGCCCGGCCGACTGTCCCAGAACGTCCAGTGATGAGAGCAGCAGCGATCGAAGCAGAATGGGAAGTGGCTTGCCCTCTGGAGAGCAGGGAGCCTGAGTCACGCGGAGACCGCGCCGGGACACGGGAAGGCTGCGCGAGGCCTGGCAAGGAGAGGCTGAGTCTCAATTAAAATAGCAGCCCAGCCGCGGGGAGCGGGCACAGGTGAACCGACCAGAGACCCCGCTGTCTCCCCGATGCCTCACCTTCAGCCCACCCGTGGTCCTCACAGAGCTCACTGTGGTTCCCTCTCTTGCGAGGGGGTCCCTTAAACATGCACAAAGTTGCCCTGGCCAGTGTGGCTCAGTGGATAGAGCATCTGCCCCTGGACTGGAGGGTCCTGGGTTCGGTTCTGGTCAGGGGATAATGCTTCTTTTAAAAAACAACATGTTTTCATTGACTTCAGAGAGGAAGGGAGAGGGAGAGAGAGACATCAATGATGAGCAAGATTCATGGATCAGTTGCCTCCTGTTTGCCCCACACTGGGATCGGGCCCGCGACCCGGGCCTGTGCCCTGATGGAGAATCGAACGGAGACCCTTGGGTGGGCGGCCGACGCTTTAGCCACGGAGCCACGCCAGCCAGGGCACCTGTGATATTTTAAATGGAAAACGTATTATTTTGTCCACCCAGCTTCTTAGGTATCGAACCCACGTCACTGCTGCTGGGAAATAACGCAAAGGCGTTTAGAAATAACGGATCCCAGGTGGCTCTGCGGGTGAATAAACCTCTTTCCAAGACGGGCACCGTGGCTCCCAGGTGCTCGGTCGCGGACACCCCACGGCCGGGGAGCTTCTCCAGGCCGCCGGTGAGCCCCCTGCTCCGGATGCAGCCTCTCCCTCCCGCGGTCCCTCTCAGGGCGGGAACATGGATTCGGCTTCAGCGGCCCGCTGTGCGGACCTGTGCGGGCCAGTGACAGGGTCACCGTGCAGCCGTCTAAACTCCCCCGCTTACCCCTCAAAACGTTTTCTTTTTTTAAAAATAACAAACTCTAAAATAACAACAAACAAACCCAAAAGGTTTTGCGGGGCAGGTGTGGCTCAGTTGGTTGGGCTCCTGAAAAGCTTGCTGATTCCACTCCCGTCAGGACACGTGCGTATGTGTGTGCGCATGTCTGTGTGCGTCTGTGTGTGCGTCTCTGTGTGTGTGTGTGTCTGTGTGCGCCTCTGTGTGTGTGTGTCTGTGTGTGTGTCTGTGTGTGTGTGTGTATATCTGCATGTGTCTGTGTGTGTGATGGAGGAGGTGATGGTGAACTGGAATGTGCACGGGAAGTGGCAGCATCCCCACAGCACACACTGGAGCACCTGCCCTGAGAAACGCTATCAGTCTGAGGTGGCCATTGCTGTGTGTGTCTGTCTGTGTGTGGGGGGGTGGGAGGGGGGCTCCATCCCAGGGCGGCAGGGCGCCTGCAGGGGGCAGATGGACGGCAGGCTCTCACGGACGTTTCTCTAAAAATCAATGACAACAAAACAAACTAAAAACAAACCAAAGGTCCTGGCCCAGCAGGTGGCGGAGGGAGGCGCCAGGGCGGGTCCCTGACCTGCGGGAGGCCGAGCTGGAGGGGAGTCGGAGCG